ACTGACTGATTGATTATACTATTTGTCATGTGTTATTTGCAAAGATAAAAACATGTCTTTCAGCCAGGTGCAGTGGTGCACACCTGTAATCCCCGGGGAAGAGGCAGGTGGATCTCTGTGAGTTCGAAGCCAGCCTCGTCTATAAAGCAAGTCCAGGACAGCCAAGGCTACACAGAGAAACCCTGTCTCCACAAACCAAAATCAAAAATAAAACAAAACAAATCTGCTGCAGGAGACACCTGGTTATTTGCAATCATAAAAGCAGCGAAAGCTGAGCAGTGGTGATTCACACCTTCCTTTAATCCCAGCACTGGGGAGGCAGAAGCAGGTCGACCTCTGAGATCCAGTCCAGCCTCGTGTACAGAGTGAGTTCCAGGACAGCCAGGGCCACACAGAGAAACTCTGTTCAAAAAAAAAAAAAAAAAAAAAAAAAAAATCCATCCATCAATCAATAAAACCAGCCAAACCCTGATTGTTTCCTTAAGTAAAACTATCTTACTGAACGACAGTTATTTGTTATGGACTTTATCTTTCATACTGGACACAAAGAGGTTTTCTCACATCTGTCTTTGTAGTATCAAAATCCAGTGCCACATCTGGAGATTGGTAGGTCAACATATATGCCTCCCACAGAAATAAATGGTGGGCCACAATCTGAGGCAGCAGCTGGTAATTGTTCCGTCCACCTTACAGGACCCTGCACAGTAAAATGAGTTCATGCATGTGAATGCACACTTGATATTTCATAATTAAAATATAAAATATTATTTGCATGCAAATCATCCCAAGTGGGCTGAGCCTTGCTTCTAATGTTTGGCCATGAATGAGTGGTGTTCATTTTCCTTTTCTACTCTCTATTTCATCTCTCTTTGTGGAGTGTGTCTCTCTTTCCTTTTCACTTTCCCTCTCTCCAGTACTAGGAATTAAACCTAGGACCTAGCTCACGCTCAATAAGCTCTCTACTACATGGCTAGACAGCAGGCCTCTTTTTACTTTTTATTTGGATTCAAGATCTAAGGTGTCCAAGCTGTTCTTGAACTTGCTCTGCAGCCCAAGTTGGCCTTTAACTTGAGATCCTCCTGCCTCAGCTTTCTAAATAGCTGAAGTTAAAGACCTGTGCCAGCAAGTCTCTCCCTCTCCCTCTCTCTCATTATACTTCTATCCACTATCATTTTAAAATTTGTCTCTAACAATTGTTTGGGGGAAATTTTAGACTTATGACATTTCTCCTGACAGTTTTTTTTTTTTTTCTTTATAATAGCTTAATGGAGCAATGCACATTCAGGAGAAACTGTCCTTTGGGGGCTGATGAGGTTCAGTGGGTGACAGTGCTTGCTGCTCAAACCTAGTGAGCTGAGTTTGATCTCCAGAAGCCCTGTAAAGGTGGAAGACAAGAGCCAACTCCATGAAGTTGTCCTCTGACCTGTGGCATTTATGCCCACCCCACCCCCCACATCATGCGCACACGCACACACTTTGTGTGAGTGCACACAATTTTAATAAAAATTTTTATTTTAAAGAAAATGTCCATTGGAAGGTGTGGTGGCACACGCCTGTGATCCCAACATCCGGGAGGCAAAGGTAGGCATACCCCTGTGAGTTGGAGGCCAACCTGGTCTACAAAGCCAGTCCAGGACAGCCAAGGCTACAAAGAGGAACCCTGTCTCAAACAAAACAACTAAACAACAACGAAAAAGAACTTGTCTGTTGAGTCAGGATCTTTCCCTCAAGCCAGCAAGCTGAAGTCTGGTCCTCTCAGGGGGAAAACAACCCACACTGCATTGCACTGTGTTGTTGACATTATTTGATGATGGTGTCTTAACTGTTCACATCCTATCTTGTACGCAAAGTGGCCACCAGTGAGTGTACACTTTATCATAAGATAGGCTTGGTGTTCCCTAGTCTAAGTCTTGTGATGTTACATAGGGTTGGTGCGTAAAAGGCATCTTTGAGGGACTGGTGAGGTGACTCATGGGACAAAGATGCCAGCTATCAAGCTTGATGATCTGAACTTGAGTTTGAGCCCTGAAACCCACACGGTAGAGAGGATCAGCTTCTGAAAGCTGGTCCTCAGGCTTCCGAATGCACACTGTTGCTCCCCATCCCACTTGACGTTTTAAGATTTATTAACTGTATTATTTGTGTGCGTGTGAGTTTTACCTGAGTGTGAGTACATAGGTATGTGCACCACATGCGTGACTGGTGTCCTCAGAGGTTGAAGAATATGTCAGATCCCCTAGGACTAGAGCTACAGATGGTTGTGAGCCAACATACGGTGCTGAAAATAGAACCCAGATCCTCTGCAAGGGCAACAAATGCCCCAAACTTTTAAGACAATTTCCCAGCCCCCTCTAATTAAAATAACAATAATAGCAACAATAATAAAGCATTGTTGAGGGCTGGGCAGTGTTTGCCTAGCATGTCTACAAAAACTGTTTCTTCTTTTTACTTACAACTTGCAACTTACAGTAGATTTATTGGGAATCAAATCTAAGTAAGTCACTGCCTTCTGTAACAAGCTTAGTGACAGTCTTTTTATTTGGATTCAGGGGATCAGACTCAGGCTTGACATAGGCTAGGCAAGAATTCTATCACCAATCTACACTCTCAGTCTAATAAGCCAGTCAAATTTAATTAAATCAATTTTCTCACCTCTCCCAAGTTAAGATAAGGCAAAAGGCAGTGTAGCATTGATTACATATTTGAGATATAAGAAATTCCTGACCTACCATAAACCTTCATGGCTCTTAACAGACAACCCTGATGGGAGCTGAATGGGAACAGTTTCTTCAACAGCTCCTCTCCTTCCTGCTTCCTTTTTGTAATGACAGTAAACTTATTTTTAATAATTCCTGATGGTACAACATTTCCCTTCATTATGTTCAAATCTGGTAGGAGCCCTGAAGCAACAGTTCCCAAAGAGGACTATCAGCCCTAAGCAACCACACACACACACACACACACACACACACACACACACGTGCGTCCACATGAGTGCATGCATGTTTGCACACTGAGGAATGCATACACATGCATGCACATACACACAGCTGCATATGAGTGTGCATTTTTATGTGCACACTCATGAACAATTACACACACTTATGCATGCACACACATGAAAACACAAATGTGTGCATGCTCATGAACACATACATGCGCGCACACACACATGCACACAAGCTTGTATTCATGTACACAAACGAAGGCCTTTTCCTCACATTTTAAAAATCGCACCTCATGACCTCCACTGAGTGACTCGAAGGTCCCTTCCAGCCTTGAAGACTGACAGATCTTGTGATTAAACTGCTGTACTTACTGTATAACAAATGAGCTGGATTTAAACTGTTTAACTCAGCATTTATCAGACTTCCTTATTTTATGGATCACTAAAAAGGAAAACCAGTGAATTCAAAATGTAAGCAGATGACGTCAGAGACATCCAAGCTAAACCTAGGATGTTAAAACTGGCACATCTGGAATGGACAAAATGTGGTATAAAGGACTTCAGGCATCACTCAAACACCGGGCCAAGATAACCCACCGCCACACTGAGGATCTTTGGAAAGACTATGGAAAACCACACTCTGGCCCTAGGCTCTAAAAACTATTTCCAGGGGAAAGTGTAGAAGTAGTTTCCCAAACTGAGAAGAATAAGAACTAGGCATACGGGTGTGTCTGTGTGCCTGCAGATACTGGTGGGAAATGAACTGACTTCGCTGAGTTAAAGAGTAATTTCCAGGTACACACTAGAAGGAACTGTCCAGCTGGCCTCAATGAGCATGCAAATCTCTTTAAATTAAGATGGCATGTAATTAAACCATTCAGCTTGTTGACAAGCCTCTCCATGAAGGCTGTTTACTTTCACTTGAAATGACCCTTTTGCTTCCGAAGAGCCCCACACCCAGAGTGACTCAGTTTCATAACACCACCATTAAAATCTCTGGCTTTATGGGCAATAGGCTGAGGCAGAAAGCATCCGTTACTCTACAGTGAGTCAAATCAAGTATGAGTGGCGGGAAGGAGGCTTGGAGACTTGGTTGGCCGCCAGGGCCTGGGTGTGGTTGATAGTTTGGGCCCTTCCGGGTGCCTGTGCTTGAGTGTGTGGATACGGCTTGGGCCTTTAGTTTACACCTGACTAGACCGCCCCATCTTACCTGGGGCAACCTCCCCTAAGGACCTGACTTTGGGGGACTGACTTTGGGTACCATTCCAAGCTGGCCCAGGATTCTCTGCATGCTCAATGAAGGCCCCTCAGATACTTCTGATTTCATCTTCCTTGACACAACACAACCCCTGGGTTTTTCCAAGCCATCTGGGCTGACGGGACCAGAGGGTGCCCCGTGCTGTCCTCTGAGCTCATAACAAGCATCAGACAACCGATGACCTCTGGGTTGGTCACCTTCACACTAGCCTCGGCCACACAGACCGGCCCATTCCGCCGCTTTCTTCTTCGCCCTGGTCTGCCTCTAGAAGAGGTGGGCGAGGAAGGCGGCGGAGATGCGGTCTGGTGGAGAAGAGCTTGTGCAAGCTGTGCCGCGCTTACCCGAGGCGCTGCATCGAGATGCTGGCCGCTGCGGACCGCCTTGCGCGGCCCTCTCCCCTAGTTATACATCCCACACAGTTTCCATGGCTCCGCCGCCATCCTCCCGCCCCTTTCCTCCCTCGGAGCCCAGTAGCCGTCGCCTGGCTGGCCGATGGGGGACCGCGCAGTTCTCCAGGCCTCACTCAGTACGCTTAGATGCGCCCCCGTCACGTAACTCAGCTGAAGTTCTGTCACTTTCCTCCTCCCTCCCCCAGTCGCCGGCACCCCCGATCTGGTCGCCCACCCTGGCAACACGCAGCCCCCGGCCCGGCCTGGTGGCTGGTGGCGCGGGGGAGGGGCGCGCAGCGCAGGCAAAGTTGCTGAGTTGCGGTGCACGCTCAGAAGTTGCAGCTGCGACGGCTGCTTCCCGCCCCCTTCCTGGACTCGGCGGCTTGGAACGCAAACCCAGCGGTCACTGCCCGCTACCTGCCTTCTCCCCTGCGGCCCTGGCCAGCACCGGCAGCATCCCCCTCCCCGCGCCCGCGAGAAGCCCAGGTTTCCAGAACAGTCGGGCTGGGGGCGGGCGGCGGGCGCACCCCACCCTTGCGTTCCGCCTGAGGGAGAGGGAGTGGGGGCAGGGTCCCCTCCACCCGCGGGCCTCCGAGCCCTGCCGTGGGAAGCGGGTTTGCAAACAGGAGTCGATGGGCGTTCCCATTCCCTTCCGCAAGGAGCTTTGCCCCAGACGGGGAGTCGGGGTGGGGTGGGGTGGGGTGGGGTGGAGGGGGGAGACGGGCAGAGAGGCTGGGCCTGGGGCTGAAGTTGCCAACAGGTGCTCATGAGCTCATGTGACCTGGAGGAAGCACACCCAGGGGTAGCCGGAGAAGGGCGGGAGAGGGGGAGGCGAGCTTTCTCGGGGTCTCCCGGGGTGCCCAGACACCCAGTCCAGGGAGTGCTCGCCGTGGCTCCTCCGAGAGCGCGGGCGCCCTCGCGGCCTGCACCGGAGTCGGAGGAAAAGGAGGGGGAGGGAAGGGATGCGAAAGTGGGTCAGGAATGCGACTACATGCACACCCCTCCTGTGGCCGCCCGAGGCAGCCGGCTCCTGCCTTGGAAAGGGAGTCATTCGCTGTTGTGGCTCCCCAGCATTCTAGGTGGACGGTTACCAGGGATCCCGAGAGATGTGTTTCCCTGTGACCCATTGGGAAGAAAAACTTAGTTGCCTCGGTAACCGGGTTTGGCTTGGATGCAATGATGCAGTGAGCTTTGTAGGTGAGCCTGGCCCTGGAGGGGATTACAGTTGCGCTTAGGGGGCCAGCACGGAAAGCTGAGGAGGAGGTGGGGCTTTGCTGTGTTTTGTGCTGTGTGTGTGTGTGTGTGTGTGTGTGTGTGTGTGTGTGTGTGTGTGT